GTGACCTCCTGCCGGCGGGCGTTCGACATTTCACGTGGCCTCGTGGTGCACATGGCCTGGCACAAGCGTCGTGGTGACGTCACCGCCACTTAGTGGTGAATGGCGGTTGTTGTTGTTGTGAGGGTGTGTGAGAGTGTGTGTGTGAGTGTGTGTGAGTGTGTGTGAGAGTGTGTGAGTGTGTGAGAGTGTGTGTGTGAGTGTGTGTGAGAGTGTGTGTGTGAGTGTGTGAGTGTGTGTGTGTGAGAGTGTGAGAGTGTGTGAGAGTGTGTGTGTGAGTGTGTGTGTGTCAGTGTGTGTGTGAGAGTGTGTGTGTGTGTGTGAGTGTGTGTGTGAGAGTGTGTGTGTGAGAGTGTGTGTGTGAGTGTGTGAGTGTGTGAGAGTGTGTGTGTGAGAGTGTGAGTGTGTGCGAGTGTGTGTGTGAGCGTGTGTGTGTGAGTGTGTGTGTGAGTGTGTGCGAGTGTGTGTGTGAGAGTGTGTGAGTGTGTGAGAGTGTGTGTGTGAGAGTGTGTGTGAGTGTGTGTGTGAGTGTGTGCGAGTGTGTGTGTGCGAGTGTGTGTGTGAGAGTGTGTGTGTGAGTGTGTGTGTGAGTGTGTGTGTGAGTGTGTGCGAGTGTGTGTGTGAGAGTGTGTGTGTGAGAGTGTGTGTGTGTGTGCGAGTGTGTGTGTGATAGTGTGTGAGTGTGTGTGTGAGAGCGTGCGAGTGTGTGTGTGTGAGTGTGTGTGTGAGTGTGTGCGAGTGTGTGTGTGAGAGTGTGTGTGTGAGTGGGTGTGTGTGTGTCAGTGTGTGTGTGAGAGTGTGTGTGTGCGAGTGTGTGTGTGAGAGTGTGTGTGTGAGAGTGTGTGTGTGAGTGTGTGTGTGAGAGTGTGAGTGTGTGTGTGAGTGTGTGCGAGTGTGTGTGAGAGTGTGTGTGTGAGAGTGTGTGTGTGAGAGTGTGTGTGTGAGAGTGTGTGTGTGAGAGTGTGTGTGCGAGTGTGTGTGTGAGTGTGTGTGTGAGTGTGTGTGTGTCAGTGTGTGTGTGAGTGTGAGAGTGTGTGCGAGTGTGTGTGTGAGAGTGTGTGTGTGAGAGTGTGTGAGAGTGTGTGTGTGAGAGTGTGTGCACTGACACACACGGGCTCTCGTTATCCTCTGCGCAGCCCTAAAAATAGCACTGCCACCACATTCTCTCCGCGCGCTCGCCCACCGTGCATGCACAGGCATCGTGCGTGCACACAGGTTCCACCCACAAGCGCAATTTCAAACAAATGTAAAACCTTGCCACCGTTGTTGCCATTAGCACCGGCTCATCGTCGTCGTGAGCCTTGATCTATTCACAGCTGGATGAAGGCCTCCCGAAGACTCAGCTGTCTCTCGCGGTCACGAGATACGACGAACTGTCTGACTCCTGCAGCTATTTTTAAACATGTGTTTCATTTTATTTTAGCAGGTAAAGCCCGCTGAGCTATATAACCTATTTTTTTTTTCAGAAACGACCTGGCTATTACAAATGATAGCTCAACGAAGCGGCTTATCGCGTGGACATTTATAGCAGCCAAATACTCTAAACGCGTGGTGATGTTGATTCTAAATGTGGAAGGAAAAACCGGAAGACCCGGATAAAAATCCATGCCACCACGGGGAGAGAGAGAGAGAGACCGCAAACTCCAAATATACAGCAGCAGTAGGCATCGTCATGGCCGGCATGGAACCCACGACCCCCTGCACACCAGGCGAGGTTGTTAACATCTCCTAGCCTACCGTGATGATGATAGAGAGAGGGACACGCAAACTCCAAATATACAGCAGCAGTAGGCGTCGTCAGGGTCGGCATGGAACCCACGACCTCCTGCACACCAGGCGAGGTAGTGAACATCTCCTAGCCTACCGTGATGATGAAAGAGAGAGAGAGAGAGACACGCAAACTCCAAATATACAGCAGCAGCAGGCGTCGTCAGGGTCGGCATGGAACCCACGACCCCCTGCACACCAGGCGAGGTAGTTAACATCTCATAGCCACCAGTGACGCGCCTCTGAGTTGATTCCATCGCTCCGCCCCTCTGCGGTTAACGCGTCGCACCCCCCCCTTCCCCCACATGAGGGGCGCGTTCCTCCCTTTGACTGCCGCTCCACCTTTGCTCTTCACCACCATCGACCGTCAACCCCTCGCGCCAGTGAATCTTTTCTGCCCCCTGGTCCGCTTCACTGTTTGTCCACGGACGGCAACGTGGCGCGTCTCTCTCTCAGCTTGTGTTCGTCTTCTCGTCGTGGCGTTCCCCTCTCTCTCTCTCTGTGTGTGTCTCTCCGTCTCTCAGTGTTTCATCGCGACAAAATTGCGTGCGAACCTTTTCGCACGCGCTTGCTTTGCTTTCTTTTTTTTGCTTCGGTGCACTTTTCGCAAACGCTGTTCCATATTTGGTAAAGTCACGTAGGTAAAAAAATTAAACAACAAACATAACGACGTTTCGGCCACAACACAAGCGGCCTTCATCAGGTGAAGGGACCAGACTGTCTCGAGGACAGCGCTGGAGTGAAACACAGCCACGCTCAGACCGCGACCTGTGTGCGAAAAATTAGCATTTGATTGGGCGACTTAGATCGCGGCATCTTTTGAGGAAGGTCAGCATCTCGATTAGCTGTGACTTCTTGTCCCGTTGTCTGTTAAAAGCTCTAACAGATAGGTGAAAACCCTCCCCGTAGAGGTTATCAATTCTAGATTTAAAGCTTTCGTGACTGCAAGGATCCATACTCTTTGGTTCTATTCGGTAAAGTCACGTAGGTAAAAAATAAAACAACATAAATCACGACGTTTCGGCCACAACACAAGCGGCCTTCATCAGGTGAAGGGATCAGGCTGTCTCGAGGACAGCGCTGGAGTGAAACACAGTCACGCTCAGACCGCGACCTTTAAGCTGTGTGCGAAAAATCTAGAATTGTTCCATATTTCTCGTCGAACGTCCGCCGTCTTCATGACGGCAACACGAAACGTGGCAGGCTGACATTGTGGACATGCAGGTGGCCGATCTTCGGAAAAGAGGAACGTTTAGTTAAAATCCTTCGGTATTCCATTTCGTTCTGTTATATTATACACTGTGTAACACAAAAAAATGAGTTCCTGGGTGGTAAGTGTTATTTCCTAATTGCTTGTGCCTCAAAAGTACAGAAAATGGATATTGTCCCCCCACAAACTTTGCTTTTGTGATCAGGACAGTGATATTTTGAAATGTACCTATTTTCAATGAGAACACGTGGTGTGCATTTGTGTCATTCCTTCATAATAATAGCCGTTTTATGTACTTTTGAGGCATAAGCAATTAGGAAATAACGCTTACTACCCAGGAACAAATTGTTTGTGTTACACAGTGTATAATATAACAGAACGAAATGGAAAACCGAAATATTTTAACGAAACGTTCCCCTTTTCTGAAGATCGGCCACCTGCATGTGTCATGGGTTTTTTTTATTGCTTAGGCATAAGCAATAAAAAATAATAATTAACACTTAGCACCCAGAAACAAAAATTGTGTTACATAATTAATAGCCAGTGTAAGGCATGGGTATTGCTATGCCCTGTTAGTCATGGCTGCTGTTTGACCATACTTCACCACTCTGCTCAGTGTGGGTTGGTAAAGGGGGTGCCCAGGACCAGCTCAGATCTCACCTTGCCACTGATTTTGGCTGTGGCCGGGAATCGAACTTACAGGGGCCAATCACTGTTGTAAGGCAGTGCTACTGGTGTGGGTGGTGAGCGTTTTTAATTTGTATTTGCAAGATCATTCTTTTCACAAGCTGCCGCATAATGTACTTCACTGACCCTATTTCGTCATTCATCATCACAATCATCAGCCGTGTTCAATCCACTGCCGGATAAAGGCCTCTCCCAAGCTATCGCCGCCACCTCTCACGACCCTGCGATGCAATAATCCACGCAGCGTTTGCGCGTGAACCGATGTCTCTGACGCAATCCATTCCAGCTTTCCATTCGTGTTTATTGTTATAATAAAAAAAATATATATACGCATAATACCTTTTCCCTCCAACATTGTCGCAATTAAGATAACCGACGGGCCCCGTGCTAAATGCTTTCAAGCTATCAATTCCGGTTCAGTGATTCTGCACTTGCTCTATTACTATAGTACTATACTGCCTTCAACTTTTGTAAACGACTGGGTGTTTAAGATTAGCGATTTGTCGTATTATCTGGCTGTATAACAAATGAAATAAATACAATTACTTTACTATGCAAGTAAAAAAATAGTGTTTTCATATTTCTGTGTTTTTTTTTTAAATTAGGGCCCCTTCATAGCATATACTACAGACCCCGTACTAGCTTAATCCGGCACTGGGTAAGCAAATGTATTGTTTTACTCTCAGAGGTTGAATTTTACCAAATTAAGTACGGAACTAGAGTCCTCGTGTGACCATCAACTCCATTGAGAACCCACTTGAATCACAGCCGGCATTACCCTGGACTCGAACACAAGATCTCAGTGGTGCAGGCTTGGCGCTCTGACCTCTCCCTCTCTCTCTGCAAACCGACCAATTTCGGGGATCCGTGTGACATGAATTCACGATGTTTTTTTAAAAACAAATTCCATCCAGAATAAAAAATATAATTAAACGGGCCATCAGCGGTGACTGGGTGGCTCAGAGGTCAGAGGTCAGTGCACTGAGCTGGTAGCCCTGAAACCCTGGGTTCAAATTCAAGCAGTCACCTGAAATCAAACTTGGTTCTCGAGTGTAGTGAGTTGAGAGCCTCAGGCCTGGCCACCAATGATTGCGTGAAAAAAAAATGCAACGAGTTTTTGTACATTATTTGGTAAAATTCAGCTTCTAATTATTAAAATATATCGTTTTGACTGGCATGAGACGAACATGACACTCATATGGCAGACCGGGTGGGAAAGTGCTGTGGACCAAGTGCTGTGGACCAGGTGTAACTAGAAGTCATCTCAGAGGTGGCTCTGTGATATCCATTTCCGTGGGCAATTCTCTAAAACGAAAAGTCACACCACTGTGTGAGAATTCCGAATGTTATTTGTCTCTCCACGTGACGGCGATGGAACATTTGGGACAAAATTATCGAGGGCGGAAAATATATCTAACCATGTATGTATTCCTGTTCGCCTGTCGTCACATTGACGACAGGCGCGGAAAAAAAGCCTGTGAATGTATTCACTGGTTTACACACACACACATACACACTCACTCCCTCCACACATCCCATCTCCATTCTTCCCTCTATCGCCTCTCCTCTCACCACCCAACCCTCCCTCCCTCTCTGCACTCCCTCCTGTGTCTCCCTCTCCCCGTGTCTCTCACTCCTGCGCGTGAATTGTTACCGAGCGCATCTCGTCTTCACGGTAAGCTGTCTGATATTTATTTACCATTTCACCACCATTAGCAGCAGTGTCATCAGCAGCAGCAGCAGCGGCAGCATCAGCAGCCTTACCACTGAACTACCGTTACTGCTGCTGCAATCTTTTTGCGCCTGCACGAATGTCTACGTATTTTCTTCGCATTGTCCTGATGCAACAGTGCCTTTGATGTGAGCGGTACACGTGTAGGTACAATGCAACGGAGGTTTGCGTGTGCGCGTGACAGTGCGGCGACTTAGGCTAAAAATTTAGTACCCGGTGCGTAAATGCTGACCACCGGAGAGACAAAGGCGGCCGGGCGTGGTGCTTTGCCACCCACCCCCTCGTGCGCCGTGCCGGCCTTTGTAGGTGCTCGCTTACTGCACTTGCCCCCAGCAGCCTGAGTAGGCTATATGGGGGATCTTTGTAACCGTGCGTGTGCGAGTGGGGGGGCAGTACCGTAGTGGTTAGCGGACTGCGCCGCGAACCCGGAAACCCGAGTAGGATTACCGCTCAAATCAGAGGTGGTTAGCTGAACCGGTTTTGGGCCGCTCAAATCAGAGGTGGTTAGCTGAACCGGTTTTGGGCCGCTCAAATCAGAGGTGGTTAGCTGAACCGGTTTTGGGCCGCTCAAATCAGAGGTGGTTAGCTGAACCGGTTTTGGGCCGCTCAAATCAGAGGTGGTTAGCCGAACCGGTTTTGAGCCGCTCAAATCAGAGGTGGTTAGCTGAACCGGTTTTGGGCCACCTCTAGGTAAGCTCAGACTTAAATGAGCACCTGTTGCGGTGTGTATTGAACTGGGGGGGGGGGGAGGTTTCCGAGGGAGACAAAGGCGGCTGCTAGGTCCAAGCGTGGTGCGAGCCACCCGTCATCCCGTGTATCAGCCGTAATAGGTGCTCGCTAACAGCACTTGCCCCAACAGCGCGTGGAGGTTACACGGGGGAATCTCTGTATATATCTTTCCACGTGTATGAGGGGTGGGGGGGAAGGAGGAGAATGGTACATTTCTGCAAATTGGCAGTCTATAGTTCGCATTGGTAAGCGCTTTGAAATGACACGCGCGCGTTTGTATTAAATCTATGTAAACACAGCACGTGTTTACATATATACCCGTTATGTATATTGCACCGGCATAATATATTCATGGGCAAGCGACGTGCAAAAAAAATGCACTGTGCATTCCATACACATGGCTATACGAGTGTGTGCATAATTGTACATTCGTGTGTGTGTGGGTGTGCGTGATTGTGTGCTTGTGTCTGTCTGTGTGGTTCTCTGTGTAGGGGAGCGGTGGCGCAGTGGTTAGCGGTGCACTGCGAACCCGGCCACCCGAGTTCCATTCCCACTCACGGTCACCAACACCGGTGACGATTATTTGAACCAGCCAGACGTGGTGCTGTCCACCCACCCCCAAACGTGTGCCGTGCAAGCCTTGCACAGGTGCTAGTCGCGAAACAGGCTATGCGGGGGGATCTTTGTCCCCCGTGTTGCGATTGCGCCGCCGTGAATTCTCTCCACGTGTGAATGGGTTTTGTGTTCTGGCAACCGACCGTGGCAGGCTCATCGCGAGGCGCGTAGGCGTGAGCGATTGGTGGCCGCTTGCGCGCACGGTTCGCAGAGGTGTCGTGCCCTGTGTGGCGCGCGCGCGCGTGTCCTTCTAACGAACATCGATCTCCGTAAGTGTGCGCGGCGCATGTGTGCGTGTTGATGTAACAGTCTGTTGAAGGCTATTACGGAGGATCTTTGTCTTTGTTTTTTTTGTGTTGTGTTGTGTGTGTGTGTGTATGTGTGTGATGCTGACCGCATGCACCCGCGTCGTGTGCCTTGCCGGCCTTCGTAGGTGCTACTCGCTAACAGCACTTGCCCCGTGAGTCTGTTGAAGGCTACACGGGGGATCTGTGTCGTTTTGTCTCTGTGGAACTCTTCGAGTACGAACCCTGCCTGCTGTTGCGCATTGTGTGCGCGTGAGTGCGCGTACGGAGTGCAAACAGAAGTGCGTCCAGCAGATGCTCGGTTGTATCCCGCCACCTGTGTTTGTGCTGGTTACAGAGTGTGCATCAGTGCATCATGTAGTCAAGTGCACAGCACATTCAGGGGTATAGCTAACCCCGTTGACTCTGTAGCAGGGACGTGCGGCCAGGGGAGGCAGGGGAGACAGAGCCTCAGCTGTCATACTCCAATGAAAATAGCTGTTACGAAAAGTAAAAAAAATGAAATCAAATAAATATTAAGATTTTTCCACTGATCTGTGTTATAAATGTAATTTCTGTACGATTCCAATAATTTTTATCGTCAGAATCGCCAAATTTGCGGAGCTCCGCTGCAAATACAGGAAGAGATGAGAGAGAGGTGAGGCAGCGACGAGCTCAGCCTCCCCTCTGATTGCGCAACCCCTCAGTAGCTGGATGGAGCGCGGGCAATAAGCGCGTGCCTGTTACTAACTCAGTATGTCACCAATTTAATGTTTGTAGACCCCTTCATTTAATGTCCTCGCCTTCCATACTCCAGGTAACTTATTTCACGTACGTGTATAGAGATATTTAGGCTCGCTGGTCTCGTCATGAAACTGCAATGAAAAAGCACCGGGGGAGGCAGCTATCACATCTGCCTCACTGAGGGGGACTTGTCTAACACGCCCCCCTCAGTGAGGACACGCCCCATCCGTGAGGCCACGCCCCCCTCCGTGTGTGAATCTGGCTCTGACACTAGCCAGTGCCTCCCCAGCCGTTGACCTCACCGCACGTCACTGATCTGTAGCGCTGGGGTGCACGCGCAGCCTTGGGATGCGAGACACGGCCAGATTGTTTTGGAAGGTAATCATCGAAAAGACAAATTAAGCACGGACACGTAAGTACGACTAATTCGTTTCATCAAACCTTTATGTATTCATCAGCATTACCAGCTTGTATGCCTGTCCTAGGACGGAAGCTGTAATATTTACGAAAAAATTGAGCAGAGTACTAATTGTATCTTGTGTAAATTTAATGGCAGTGAATCTTGCACGGAAGTATGTCGTCAAGCACTTCACTGCAGTTCACTGTAGCACTGTATTAATGGCAGTGATTATTGCACCAAAAATATCACGAAACACCTCACTTCCTCACTTCATGTCACTGTAGCATTGTAGATAACTGACCTTCAATTTGTTCAAATTAACTGCTCTGAAACTTTATTCTCTTCTGCTTTCGGTCGCTGGGGTTGAAATAAATCTTAATTCGATCCAATATCCGGAAAATCACCGATACATGTATATTTTACCGTAATGTAGAAGCATAAATTAGACTTACCTTTTGTCTCAAGTGCTGAATAAATAAATAAAGACACCAAATCCACTTTGTTGCTGCGTAGACTTATTTATTAGATTCACTTTCAATAAAGAAACGTCAAACTTAAAGCGAATTTGCGAAAAAAACAATTTATTTTCTCTCCACCTTCTTCTGCGTGAGTGTAAAAATCCACCCGCTCATGAATATTAATGACGGGGGGGGGGGGGGTGCGGCATGTGGAGTGTGACGTCACGCACTCATGAATATTAATGACGGGGTGGGTGCGACATGTGGAGAGTGACGTCACGCGCTCATGAATATTAATGACGGGGTGGGTGCGGCATGTGGAGAGTGACGTCACGCGCGTTACACACAGACATACATTTTCTGGGTTCTTTCGGTAAAGTCACTTAGAATGGGAATAAAGTAATAATAACATAATAAAATTCTCACGACGTTTCGGCCACAACACAAGTAGCCTTCCTCAGCCACAACTTGTGTTGTGACCGAAACGTCGTGAGAATTTTATTCTGTTATTATTTTTATTATTTTATTGCCATTCTACGTGGTGACTTCACCGAAAGAACCCAGGAGATGAATCCCTGCAGTCACGAAGGCTTTAAATCGAAATCAGACATACATTCTTGGCTTATTATAGTAGTAATATATTTGATATGAGAACCAAAAGGGTGCAAGGCTGCAGTAAAGGTTAAGAGCCACTACACTACACTATACACTACACTACTATACACTACACTATACACTACACTACTATACACTACACTATACACTACACTACTATACACTACGCTATACACTACACTACTATACACTACACTATACACTACACTACTATACACTACACTATACACTACACTACTATACACTACGCTATACACTACACTACTATACACTACACTATACACTACACTACTATACACTACACTATACACTACACTATACACTACACTACTATACACTACACTATACACTACACTACTATACACTACACTATACACTACACTATACACTACACTATACACTACATTATACACTACACTATACACTACACTATACACTATAATATACACTACTATACACTACACTATACTATACACTACACTATACACTACACTATACACTACACTAAAACTACACTATTCACTAAACTATACACTACACTATACACTATACTATACACTACTATGCACTACACTATACTATACACTACACTATACTATACACTACACTATACACTACACTATACACTACACACTACACTACACTATACACTACACTATATACTACACTATACACTACACTATACACTACACTATACACTACACTACTATACACTATACACTACTATACACTACACTATATACTACACTATACACTACACTATACACTATACATTACACTGCTATACACTACACTATACACTACACTATACACTATACTATACTCTACACTATACATTATACTATACACTACACTATACACTACACTATACACTACACTACTATACACTACACTATACACTACACTATACACTACACTATACACTACTATACACTACTATACACTACACACTATACTATACACTACATTTCTATACACTACACTATACACTACACTATACACTACACTATACACTACACTATGCACTACACTATACACTACTATACACTACACTATACACTACTATACACTACACTATACACTACACTATACACTACA